ATTATTTCCCAGTGCACTACAATCCTCTCATCCTGAATGTTTTTCATGAAGTCTAACTCAAATATTTTCTGCTGCCATTCAACCACAGCATAAGGATGAATCCCAGCTGCTTCATCTCTCAGGGCTTCCCAGGGCTCAGAGCAAGGCAGTGAGGTCCTCTCTACCCACCCTACCTTGGTTTGGCCATGCAACTTGCAAACCATAGCCATCAAAACCCAACTTCTTTCCTGCTCATGGGAATTCCTGGCCTAGAGGCATCCCACTTTTGGATTGCATTTCCTTTCTGCTCCATGTATGCCCTGGCAGTGCTCGGCAACATGGTGGTGCTGCTGGTGGTATGTTCTGAGCCTGCACTGCATCAGCCCATGTACCTGTTCCTATGCATGCTGTCCACCATCGACCTGGTACTCTGCACCTCCACTGTGCCCAAGCTCCTTGCACTCTTCTGGTCGAATGCTGCTGAGATTGCCTTTGGGGCCTGTGCTGCCCAGATGTTCTTTATCCATGGTTTTTCAGCTGTAGAATCTGGTATCTTGCTAGCAATGGCCTTTGACCGATATTTAGCCATCTGCCGGCCACTGCATTATGGGTCATTGCTGCCCCCAGAGTCTGTGGGCAAGCTAGGGGCTGCTGCTGTGCTTCGTGGCTTGGGACTCATGACCCCACTCACCTGCTTACTGGTAAGGCTGAGCTACTGCAGCCGAGTGGTGGCTCACTCCTACTGTGAGCACATGGCTGTGGTGAAGCTGGCTTGCAGGGGTACACAGCCAAACAATGTCTATGGCATCACCGCTGCCACACTGGTGGTGGGCACTGACTCCATCTGCATTGCTGTCTCCTACACACTCATCCTCCGGGCTGTGTTAGGACTCTCCTCCAAGGAGGCAAGGGCTAAGACCTTTGGCACTTGTGGCTCCCACCTGGGTGTCATTCTTCTCTTCTACACTCCAGGGCTCTTTTCATTCTACACACAGCGCTTTGGCCAGCATGTGCCCCGGCACATCCACATCCTTCTGGCTGACCTCTACCTTGTCGTACCACCCATGCTCAACCCCATCATCTACGGCATAAAGACTAAGCAGATCCGGGATGGGGCTCTCCGACTGCTGAAGCAGGGCCCTGCTCAGTCATAAAGTCATCAGCTCCACCCTGGGATCCCATCCTCTTCTCCCCTTAGCCCTTGGTCAATGTTTAAGAGACGGTAGCTCCCAGCATCATGAGGAGACAGAAACCCACACTTAGTGGTATCCCTACTTTGATAAACAGGAGTATAGCCCAAGTCAGATGGTGGAGGAACCATCAGGTTTTTCCCACTCATGATGTGGACATGCTTTCAAAGTTCAGGGAGGCCCTGTGTAATGGGAAATATGGCTACCAAATGGATGGTGGCCTCCCAGGGAATCCTACTCTGCTGTCCCACATCACTTCTACCTTCCAAAAGACCTTGATAAAATGAGAAAGATATGGCTATGGTCTAATAAGGAGAAATAATCTTCATCCATAGGCAGGTGATAAGTATCTGATAGGGATGTTTAGCCCTCAGCAAGCTCTAAGTCTTACTGGGGAGCAACACACTCATGCATACACACTCACGTAATGCAATGCACATAACACACTCACACACACTCATACACAGAATCAGAGAGGCAGAGATGGAGAACTCAACAACTGGCCAACAGGACAACAACAACAAAAGAAGAATACTCATGGTGTTTATTGTACAGAGGCAGAGAGGCAGAGATGGAGAACTCAGCAACTGGCCAACAGGACAACAACAACAAAAGAAGAATACTCATGGTGTTTATTGTACAGAGGAATAAGGAACAAGACATGATGTTAAACTAGGAAGGTTCTCTGGAAGATGAGAGTTTTCATCTTTTCACTGAGCATGAACTATGGGCCAAATATTTTGATACAATCCAGAGGTATAAACTAGTCCTCCTCTCATGGTGACTGTTCACTGTGAGCCAGAGGAAACATACATATAAGAAGACAGTGGCCAAACCGAATTAAACTGATTTGATCAGGGTAAGCACAGAGACCATGGGTATTAAGGACACTAACTTTCTCAAGGGGAAATGAGGTCCCAGGGCCTACTTCATCTCATCCC